ATGCAAGATTTTAACATTTAAGATCATTGCTGGATCTATAGGGCAAAGGAAATCATAACCTTTGCCCCAATTTCAAGATGATAAATTACAGCTTTTTCCAACAATGCAGAAGACAAAGTCTTATCTTGTTTTGGTAGTTTATAGCAAATTTCATTTAATGTAAATAAATTCAACTGCTAATTTGTTAAAAACCAAAGTTGTCGTCTTTATGATTTTGGCAGTGTTTACTAAAACACAGATACAATTAATAACTTTGTTTTCTAAATTATGTGATATGTGGCAGATATTAAACATGGTATTTCTCCTAGCACAAAAGTACAAGATTAATATTTTAAATGAGTGTATGTGTACATGCATGCATGTGTGCATGTGTGTGTGTGTGGGGTATTTGATAAGCAAGCATGAGTCTTCAGAGGCCAAAAATGGATTGCTGAATCCTGTGGAGCTAAAGTTATGGATGGGAGAACATCATAAGCAAAACATGCTTCAAATCTCAGTGCTCCTTACTCAACCACTGGCAGGGAGGCACTAGATAGAGATAACATCTCCACAGTTGAAGATGGCTGGGACTTGGAAGAGTTGGGTACAGGATGGTGAATTGGAAAAGTGCATTGTTTGTTGCATTGGAGAAATCATACCACTAATGTTAGTCTAGTCATGGTGCTTAATCTCATGAATAGTTTCTTAGTACTTCTTATTTGTATAGTCGAGTCTAAGCTACTTTGGGAGTTGTGTAAACTCCCAGTGTAACTACTTCAGATATAACTTTAATAGACAAAAAGAGCACAAAGGATGACTGTTATCTCTTGGTTTGCTTGCTTGTTTCCTTCTTTGCTTTATCTCACTTAGGCTACTGCAAACACACTATGTCAGGCAGCTTATATTCTCAAGTTTTCTTTTTCTAATCTGGAAATACGAACATTGGCTTAGATGAGTTCTAAAGCTCTATCAGCTATACTTTCTCAATAATTAACCCATATCTCCAAAGTATTGACCTTAACACTGGGCAGCTATAGCACTGAAAATGTGTCTAATGGTTACTAGGAACATATACTCTAAACTAAGTTTGGTAGAAAATCACAGCTTCTACAGGATAGGTGGTACATTTATGCTGAGAGTACATGGACAACTAACTTTTCTAAGAATGTGTTAAAACAGAAGAAAAGAGCTCAAAATTAACCCTTATAAATGGCACAATTTGCCTACTGTATAATTTAAATTGTTTAAATAAAGTTGCTGATTTGCATAATGAAGCATTTAAAAATATATCTTAAAAATAACAATACTGGGCATTGATTTGAAATTTAAACAAAACATAACAAGTACAAATTAACCTAGAAAGAATGTCATGAAACTGCATAATTAGATGTATTAATATATGTGAACTATCATTTATCAGACTAAATTTAGCATAGGTATTTATTTAAAGAAAAATATCTACATTTTCTATTTAAATTGGTTCTATTTTTGTTTTGTAAGCATTTGTTTTCATTAACTTTTAAAACACATGTGTAATTATTCAAGGCAGATGCCTTAAAACAGTAACTGTCAGGATTAGTTTTCTAAACTGAATTCTCAATTTTATCACTGTCTGCAATAATTTGGGGGAACATGGCATGAGACACCAGAGCATCCAAAGTATCAAGATTATTCAGTTTCAAAAGACCCCTAAAATTGTTTCAGTGTCTAGACAGAATTCAAAGCAGTGCTTGTAGTTTTGAGCCAATTCATTCTGTAACCCAAGCTGAACTGTTGATTCATTTCAGAATTATTCATTTCTAATCAGTAAAATAATTTAAAGTGTTTGGTTGCTTTTTAACTAAAGTATAAATACATCATTTACCCTCTTTCCTTTTCTCCTTCCAAATCCTCCCATGACTCCTACTCTCTCTCAAACTAAAGGCCTCCTTGTGTTTGACTATTGTTGTTACACACACACACACACACACACACACACACACGTACACTCATACACACACCCAATGATAAATCCACTTAGTGAGATTTGTTTGTATGTGGTTTCACAGTTGACTACTTTGTCTAGATTTCCCTTATGTGTTATCATGTCTTCATGTCTATTGATGTTATTACTGTTCAGGTCTTATTCAGTTACTCTAAATTTTTTTTACTTGATATGTGTAGGAGTTTTGCATGTATTTATGTCTGTGCACAACTTGAGTGTCTAGTGCCTACAGAGGACAAAAGATGGACTCTGATACCCTGGAACTTAAGTGACAGATGGCTGTGAGCTATCATGTGGGTTCCTGGAATTGAACCCAGGAACTCTGAAAGAACAAATCTTAAGCGACATCTTTACTCCTACTGTTTGGCTTCTTTGAATATCAAATTGTGCCCAAATTCTGAACCCAACAAGAGACCTGATCCAATGCAAAAGCAATGAGTGTTTTATTAATAAGTTAACTGTATTAACTTAGTTCCTCCATCTGTCTGACACAGCAGGTGGAGTGAGAAGGTCCCAGAGGGACTGCATGTCAGGGAATTTATTGGGTGGAGCAAGGGGAGGGTCTGGGTTCCACAACAGTTTCAGGATTTTTGCACTCCCTGGCTTGGGCAACCTATCCTATGTTGATTGGTCAACTGATTGCTATGACCTATAGGCCCTCCCAGGGCTGTTGCTATGCTCTGCATGCCACTATTACTATAAAAGCACATCCAGAGCCTGCCAGCTAACTTCTGATTGGTTTCTTGCTACATAGAGGGTATATGACCTCCTTATGACTAGGAGGTCAGTAAGAGCAGGAAAATCAGCACATGTTGCTGAGTCACAGGCTTACATCTTACTAGGTCTTTTCTGTAGCCTGTCATGGCTGTGAAAGCAGGGTGCTGGGTGAGGGTCTGGTCCCTTCAAAACGTTGTAGCCTGTCATTGTGGGGTTCACTCAGATGTAGCCGACTTGCCTGGTTCGTACCTGAGCTGGGAGCGTGACTTGAGAAATGGCTGGTAAAGACACTAAGAAAAAGACAGAGACACAGAATAGAGGAAGGAGGGCAATCCAATGAATATTGGATGTCCCAAATTTATTCAACATTCTTAAATATCCAAACCAAAAACAGGAACATGGCAAAAAACTTCTTTATCATGTACAAGGAACAGACTTTCTTCCTTAATTCTCCAAACATTTGGTAGCCGCATCTTAGACTCCTTATCTGGCCTTGAGGGTCAAAAGTAACCATACCTCAGACCAAGTCTATTGTTATTTAGATAAGACATCCATGACCAAGATCAAGCATCCTACAATAGCTATACCTTAGACCTTTAGGTCTCATGACTTTATCCTTGGAAGACTAAGGAAAGTTTTGAACTCTCTGACCTTAAGTCAAGAAGAAACAGAGCCATCTTTATGGGCCCCGACAGTAAAAAAAAAAAAAACATTTTGTCCCTTGAAATATTTTCCTTTAGTATAAAAACATTTATAGGAACTAGAGAAGTATTTCTGATAATGTAGACTGAGTAGTGGCACCATTGCAATCACATGCACAGGGAGTTAAAATGCAAAGTCCCAGCAAAATGTCAGGTCATTCTGTGGTCTCGGGAAAGATATGCATAGCAAGCACTGGCAACAAGAATTACCCACATGGAGTAAATACCCTTCTAGAAATGACTTCCATCCCAGGATGCCTTATAGAATCTCATGATGAATGTAAGAGAGCAGTTTGATTTTTTTATTTGAATAACAGGCTTGTATGTAAAGAATACAAACGTTTGGTGATATTTTTGTTTGTTGTTTGTATTTTAGGTCTTGTTTTCATTAAGTGGGCTTATCTATTTTCATTTGCACTAAAATTTAGAAAGAAGAAAAAATACACCCTTTGAGTTATTCATCTCTATGAGTGCCCTATGAATCTAAGTGGTATATATCAAAACATTACATATTCTAAATGATTTTCCCTCCAAAACCTGAATTTCCCCAAAGAGAACTGTTCATAAATTGAGTATACTCTTTTTCCTCTTCACAGAATTGCCAACATCATTTTCAAGAAATATAGGACTTGTGATCTTTTTATGCCAATTTTTTTAAAGTTCAAACATTCTAGCTTTCTTTTTTAGAAATTGATAGCTTCTATTAAAGGCAGTGCTGTTTAGAATGGATAGCCTTGTCAGAATATTCTGTGATTGTTGAACTCTGCATATGCAGGCAATCTTCCCATTTTCCTCCAGTTAAGATAATTTTTGCTTTTACTTCAAATGTATTACATGCGAAAATGCTGTGTCCAAATATGGAGATGACCCCTGTTCCAAAGGTCATAACTGTCAGTATGCATTTGATCACATACAACATGTATGATTAGCTAAGTATTTCTCATCACTTGAGGAGTTTCTGTTTGTGATAGATAATGTAACAAGATCTAGTCAAGTTTCTTAAGGTCTGTGTGCACTAAAGCAAGAGAAAGCAGGAATTTAGATAGCTCTCTATAAGTGTTAAATTATTCTTAAATTGAAATTTGAGACTAAGTCATCTATAATTTGCTGCCATTTTCAGTGTCTTAATTCAGAGACCACCTTTTAATTATTATGATGCAGGGGTCTGCAGATCCTGCTAACTGAGCTGACATGCAATCTCTAAGCATGAACATCCCTTTGGTCTCTTTTTGCACCATGGGACTTTAAAATTAGTTGGCTGATGTCTTTGTATTTCATTCAAATTCCTTGTTCTCTTATAATTGTCATCTTCCTTTTGTATTACATATTCCTGGTACATCATTGCTTATCTTATTCATGTTTAGTTTGAGAAAGGAAGATACCTTCCTATGTTTTAACAATTACCTTAATCATATGCCCCAATAATGACATGATTTCAGGATGTAAAAATTTCGCCTACTGCTCTGCTCCCCTTCACCATTTTCAGAGAAGGAACTTGGATTGACATGTAAAACATGGTTTTTCTAAATTAAATAAATACAGAGAGGAAAAGATAGGCATAGTTAGACAATTAGTTTAGGCTTTCATGTATCTTATGTCTTTTCTTCTTGACTCCACAGCGCCCCCGACAGTTCGGATTGTGCACTCAGGATTGGCCTGCAATATTGAGGAGGAACGCTACTCTGAAAGGGTTTACACTATCCGGGAAGGAGAAACTCTGGAACTGACCTGTCTGGTTACAGGACATCCACGCCCACAGGTGAGCCCTGAGTTAGGACATTGAAGAAGACACTGACTTCTCTTGGAAGTTGATAGCTTATTTTTACACAATTAAGCTAGAATTTTTTTTGTTTGTGTGATTGGGTGTAGGTGTATGGGGAGGGGAGGTGTGGGTTGTGTTTGTATTTTTATTTGCTACTGCAATGTAAATGAATAGAATGAAAGATAAGTGTGATAATTTTTAAATATTGCTCAAGAATGCAAGTGCATAAGATGAAATTAGAAATTTGGGTTTTGTGTTGTGAGAAATTTAGAATACACTCCCAAGAAAGCTGTTAAAAAGACAACTACAAAAATAGCTAAGTAAGATAACAATTCACATGGTGGTGAGTCTATTTTAGAATGTGGAAAACCTGACTTCATGATGACACAATTGTACCTGAGGAAGCTTTGTTTTGAGGAATATGTTGCATGGCATCACATGCATCTTCCTTAATCTTAGTTTTCCATTCATAAATGTTTTATATAAATCTTTACAGGTGTTAAATGCACTTGACCTTTCATATTAATTAGCTATGCTTGTCTTAGGTGATACCATTAGGAACACTTGAGAAATTTAAAAGGTACTGAAATTACAAATAACATGCAAAGAAAAATCATGGAGGACCAAAAGAGATAATTATACACCAACAAACCCATGTATATTATACACATATAGTGTGAAAATGTTATTTGTATACATAATATTCAAGTGTTTTTACTCATTAAGAATTTTTATTTTCATATGTGTAATCTGACAACTTCAGAGTTAACACAGATATTTAACTATGGCAGAGTTGATTTAGTGGAAAAATTTATACATTTTATTTTCTTTGCTATCCAGACAAGAAACCTGGCTGACACAGCCACAGAAGATAATGGAATAAAATTTAAGGATTTTATGAATTTGCAACTCTTGCCTTGTCATTTGCTTCTGCCAATTTTAGCTATAGTGATAAAGAAACTCTTGATTCTTCCTCATGAACAGAGAAAATTATTGGTTATTGGGTAATGGTAGGTAGGTTGATTGGCATATAGATAATTAGATGATACAAGATGGATGGATGGACAGATAGGTTCATAGAACAACAGTTATGACTGAAGTGATAAACTATATTTTGTAAAATTGATCTTGTTGCTAAAGCCTAAATGTGTAAAAGTAACCATAAATGGTGTCTAACATTTTTTTAAATAGAAATTACAAGGAGTAGTATTATTTTCTATTAACAGGATATGAATTAATTAATAGAAGTTGGCTTAATAAAATTAAATTTTATAAAATTTGCTAACATTAATTAAACATATTACAAATAATGATTTCAAAATGATGATGAAATTATTATTTAAAAATTCATGGAAAAATATTGAGTTCAGTGAGATATTATCTTCAAAAATTTCAATAGTATATTTAGAGTTAACTAAAATAGCTTAAGAAATATTGATGTTAAAATTTATTTTTTAATTAAAAGAGCTAATATGATAACTGGAATCAAGCTTTAGAATCAAAATAGGTTAAAGTACAAGAAGTAACAAGAGGTTGGTGAGACAGTTCCCAGAAAGAGAAGGCCACTACACAAACACACACACACACACACACACACACACAATGTTGTAACACTGGGTTGCTACCTTATATTGTGAACTGTAAACTTTGCTTGAGAATGGAGCTTCTATCTACCCCTGTCTGGATGTCCTCTATAACAGTTCTCTTTTCCCTTTAACCTTAGAATCGTCTTAAACTGACACTGAGACTTCCCTTTCAACATTTACATTTCAGAATGCCATCTCATTCTCTATCTAATCTGAAATGAGTTCTGGAAAAAGAGGGATAGAAGATTTTTATTCCTTAACCAGTTCCATTTTGGGATCTATTTAAATATCGTCCCATAGTTTTTTTCAAAGGACAACAAAAACTAATGTGTAATAATATTCCTAGATATAACTCTTGTGTCATTTTTAGTTGATATTTCCTCATTGAAATGGTTGACTGGGAGCCTTCTTTGCCAGCAAGCAGAATAAAGAAGGCTAACCAAACATCTGGGGTTTGCCATTCCGACCAAAGTCTAAAGAGCATGCTATTGGCAGATGCTCCTGAAAATGATTTTTCTGGATGATAGCAAGGAGCTGGAGTAACTTACTTCTGTATCTAGGCTGGCACAGGAAATACTCAAATGAAGATGAGAGGGTCCTTAGTCATTTGTCACCATGGATTTTAGTCTCTTACCTCTTTCCATCACTGTTAGAATCATAGAAATTCCCCATTTCCAAAAATATTACAAGCTTTTAAAAACTATATTATTTGGATTCATTGCAAGTAGTTGAATAGTAATAAAATATGCAAGAGAGATCAAATAAAGAAGTCATTTCACCCTAGTGGGTAGGAGGGTGACACTGAAACCACAATAATTACATTACACCAGCTTCCCCCTCCTAAAAGAGTAATTTTGGGGAAATTCCCAAGCTTCGCTATTTCGTGTGTCTTGGGTTTTGGTGATGTAATACAAATTGTAAATATTATAAGTATATGTTAGAATAGTTTTGAGTGACATTTACATTATAAATACGCATATATATACACATATGTGTAAACATATACTCCATATAATGTTTGAAAAATAGATCCAGTTACAGTTTAAAGCCTAGTTATGAACATTTTCCTCACACTTAATGATTACTAAATATATGCTTATTGACTTTTTATATTGTCTTTTGTTTTCTTCTTCATATGACATGTATCTCCTTTCATATTTTTGAGAATTTTCACTTAATTCATAAATTTAACTGCTGACAAATATGTTACAAATTTTCCTTCTGGGGTGTTAGTTTTGTTTGAAGTTTATTTTTTAAAATATTACTCCTTTTTTAGATTCTATACGTTTCTCATACGCTAAGATGCTTTAGATTCCAATAGTCTTTTACTTTTACAGACGCTGTTCAGTATGCCCTTGGTTAAGGCCAACCATTTCTGTCTTCCTAATGAACTAAAAGATGAGCATTTTACCTTCCCATATAAATTATTGTGATCTCAGTTTTTCATCATTTACTCAGTGAATGCATCTGAAAAAGTCATATGGCAGACATCAAATGATGTTCTAAGTAGGCTACCTGAATATTTCATACTTTCAGACCTGAAGACAATTCTCAGATTCACTTGGCTATACTTCTTACAAAAATTCTAATGCACGTCCATGATAAGTATATATAATAGAATACACACACACACATACACCATGGGAAAAACTAGGCTCTGTTATCCTACCAAAAATCATCAGAAGTTACTTTTTTCATGGCTTAGAAGATGCAATATAGCTGATTTCTTTAATCAGCCATGAATCTGTTCATACTGGGACTGTCTTCTCCTTCATGTGCGAGAATTGCCAAATCAAGCAATTTTTAGATGAATCTTTGGATATTGCTGGCATACTAATAAGTCACAAAAGATGCTCAGAAACTTGCTTTCTCAAATTCCAGGTCTATCACTTCCATGTACCCTTCATAAACATCAACGTGGTTCTATCAAGAAGTGATTAATATCGTTATTAATTTCATCTTTACATGGCTAAAAGTATCAAACAAAGATTTTAGTGGTAAATATCATGCCTTCAATATTTTTATTTTACTTTTTTATATAGTATAAAGTATATGTGTGTTGAATCAGTTTTATATATTTAAAAAATATGCTGACAATTTTTAGTCTAAGTATGTTACCAAAATTTTACATTAAACTCCTTTGATTACAAGATCACATTTGCCTCATGGGGAAACTAAATTCATTTAGTATCTTTCTAAGATTCATATTTGTTTATATCTATGAATAATATTTGTACTTTGAATAACTACTTATAACATATGTGTGTATATATACATATATGTATATGTAATATTCTAGAAACCTTTAAAAAAACCTTAGATAATGTGCTGAGTGAGTCAAAGCACTTTATAGAACAATTTATGCAGATTATATTTACTTATAAAGAAGATTTATTTTTGAGTTCACGTATTTAATACCTGAACATCAGAAGGCCCCTGGATTTCACAGAACTAAAGTTAGGTATCTTTCTTATGGATAATAGTGTTTATGATTCACATGAACTACCTTGGACTCATTACTGAAGCTGGTGTCATGCTTCTCTCCCAGATTGCTTCTATAAAATTCTTTCATTTTCACATTGGCACAAAATACTGCTTTACTAAATGACCTTGAAATATTAGCTTTGAAGAGACAACACAGCCTGTAAAAAATATGTATAAGTATTGAATTGCAACCTAAAAGTCAGAGTGGGGTTATCATCATAAATGTGTATTGAAGTTTACAGCCTACACATTAGAGTCTTCTGATTCTCATAGAATAGCAAACTGTCATTCTAACTGAAAACGGAGCTCAAATTTCTGTTTCATACCTAAATATTAGGCAAAGTGATAAATACACTGTTAAAACCTACAATTTGTCTATAGTAATCAAGTAAAGCTTGTGAATTTGTGATTGTAGCCCAGTAGTTTAGCCCTTGTGTAAAAGACAAAGCCCCATGTTTGATGCTATCATTACAAAAAGGAAATATAATGAACTTTAAAAATATTTTATTTTTGATATCATAATATAATTAAACCAGTTTTCCCTTCTTTATACTCCTCCCAAGCCCTTATGTTACACCTCCTACCTTGCTTTCAAATTCATGTTCATTTTTGTTTTACTTGCTAACACACACATACACACACACACACAAACACACACACACACACACACTCAATCTGTATAATATTATTTGTATGAATGGCTTTTCAGAGATAACCACCATTTGGTATAACCAGTTGGTGTTCTCTTCCCTGCTATTTTTTCCTGATTTCATCATTCGTTATTTGCCTGTAGTGGTTTGTGTTGGGTTGAGTCCTCATGGTTTTTCCCCTATCAACTTTGACATGTCTATTGTCATCACCTTTGTTCATCTCTTGTTTTGGCAGCCATGCTGGTGAGACTTCATTGGTGTAACTTCTGACATTCAT